TACGTGTTAGCTTTGTTCGTAATCCACGCTTCTGGTTGGTTAAGATTGTTATTAGGCGGAGCATTCCTGTTGGTAAGCTAAGTTTAAACAGGGGGGCGGGATGTGTTTTAAAAACTCTTGAAGAAATCGGTTAGTGTTGTCGCCCGCATTGAACACACACACTCACAGCCGGTAATGTGCATATTGTACTAAATAATACTGCTTTGAATGTATGTTTCGGCATGATTTGTATACATTAAGATGCTGTTTTGAAGTATGAGTTTCTTTAAATTATTTAAATGTCAGCGTATATATTTACTCGATACTGACGAATGCTCATTTGTTGTCGTTGATTAAATGTAAAGTTATGCTAACGCTTTATATGACATGAATGGTTCGTTATCTAAACTAGCTTCATGTTCTTTGACGTTAAGCAAGTTTACGTTAGGTTTGTTTTGGTTGCATTCGTCTGCTAAGTATACGTTAGAGGTAACTTAAAGTCTGTTTTATATTCACACATTCGTCCATTTAGCAGTCTGTATTGTTTACCACGTTAACTTGATTATTCGGTCTGAATTAGCATGCACGTATGACTTGTAAACAATATTAACACTAACGTTATCTAAGTCACTGTGAGCGTTGTTGTAGTTTGATAGCCATTATATTATTAAGGAGAATGTCTGAATATCCGAATATAAAACCAACTTTATCTCTAAGTTATCTGCAAAGTTTACGGTAACGTTAGTGATAGGTTTGACGTATTACTATCCATATGAGAAGCTTATTACTTTTAGTGTGCAAAATTTAAGTAGCGTTAATTAAAAAAACTTCTGTCAGTTCATCACTTTTTAACTTGCATTGTCTGTTTTGTTCAGCCGGCTTGACGTCCTGCTCTCTGACGCCCAGTTTTTTTCTTGTTGTAATGTAAACCACTGAATGCGGCAACAGTAAACGTGCGCATTAAATAAAACAAAAATTGTTTTTCCTCGTGTTAAATGATCGCAGATCAGACGCGATGGCCTCTCAGAATATGGATCCCGCAGCAGCATCGACAGCAACCCTGAAGGGCAGCGAGACCAGCGTGACCGCGTCTAAAGGATCCGTCAGTAAAAGGTGTGATTATCCTTATATTTCCTACAACATAAGCCCTTCATTCTATGTGCTGTACACCTAAGCTATGGTCATTCTTAAAGGGATGGTTGAAAATGAAAATGTCCTCACCTTTTACTTGTACTCAGGTGGTTTTAAAGGCGTTGTTCACCCAAAAAACATTCAGTGAGTTTACTCACTCTTCACTTGTTTCTTTCTTCTGTATGAAGAAAATATTTTGAATGAAAGTGAAAACTGTAACTATTGGATTTCAGGTGTTAAAGGTTTTCAGTTTTCTTCATGATATATTTTCTGTTAAACAACGAACAAAGGCTTGTAATTACTTGAGGGTGAGTAAATATTTTGTAACATGAACAATTCCATGCAAATGTCAAATGTTGCCATGAAAAAAATGTCACATCTGTAACGCATGTTTATTTCCCTCATTTAAAATATAAAAAAAGTTTACAGATTGAAGATGTTCTGATCCCATAATTCTGTGATTCGTTGTTTTGGAAAAAATAAACTGATGTTTCAGTATAATGTTAACATATGCTTTATCTGTGAATTAATGTTTTGAGTTTTTACAAATGTCACATCCGTAACGCTGGAATTGCTCATTATATTTTCATTTTTGGGTGAACTATGCCACAGCTCTTCAAAACATTTTTTTTTGTTTTTCAAATGTATCTTTTTTTTTTTTGTTTTTGGCTGAACAATCCCGTTTGTCAATGAATTTCTTTCATAAATTGGTATTTATTATAAATAAGACATTTTTGTTACTGATTTGTTTTATCTTGATTTGTAAGTAATCTTTAACACGGCAGTATTTGTATTGAAATGTTGCGTAATGTTCTAGATATGTGTAACAAAGCAAGTAAAGCAATAGAACTTGAGTAAGATATAATATTTTCCCTTATAGTGAGCAGAGTTGTGATTCTATCTCTATTGCAAATTCAATAAGCAAGAAATACATGGTGAAATGTACAGTAGCTGCGCAAGTCCATTTGGTAAGCAAGAAAAAAAAAAACTTGTCACTGAACACGCTTAATAGGCATGAGCTGCTATAAGATTCTGATGGTATGATCACTTTGGATAAAAATATCACGGTATTGTGCTAAAATATACTCTAAAATATATTCTTTTTAAATGTTTGGATAAAAACTAAAGCTTTTTTTTCTTTTAAAAACAATACATTTATTTTGAGAGATTTATAATAGTTTGGAGCAGTCAGACTAAATAATTCAAAAGATTAATTGACTTCTGCAGTCTTCATTTGTTTCAAAAACACTGATTTATTTAGAATTTTAAAAGACATCTTTGGAGATTTTGTTTCTGCTGGAGGTACTGTTATCCTAAAAAACAAAAAAAATAAGTAAATAAAAATCATACACTTATAGGAACAGTATTACACAAAATATTTGCAGTTTTTAAAACCTTGACTTTTCCGAATCGTGGTATACCTTGAAAAAGGTTATCATCCCAAGCCTAACGCTGAACACTGAATGTTTCTTTATGCATTGTAAAGAGCACTTCACACAAATAAATCTCCCACATGGACATTTAATATTGGTAATCATTATAGTATGAGAGCTAGAATGCATTTAAATGATTAGTATTTTGTTTTTAAGAACCTGCAGATTCTTCCTAAGGCACTTTTGTTGTGTTTTACTGTAAAAATGGTAATTTATTTGGACTTTTGTTTTTCTAGGGGGCGCTAGTTTATTAATTTATTGCACTGCTGTTACATTAATGTCTGAGTTGCTAGGAAAAACTTTACATAAGTTGTAAATTTGCTTTCACTCCTTTTGTTTTCAAATCTATGTTTAATGTCTATTATTTTCTTCCATAGGCTTCAACAAGAGCTGATGACGCTGATGGTAAGGCCTTTATATACATCCTTTTCTATTTGGTGGAAATTTCTGACTGTAGTTCATTCCATTGCTTTGTGTGGTTATGCAGATGTCTGGAGACAAGGGCATTTCAGCTTTCCCAGAGTCTGATAATCTCTTCAAATGGATCGGCACAATAGATGGAGCTCAAGGAACAGTAGGTGGTGCTGTGGATTTTTCCTGATGTCAGGAAATGTGATTCTTAAAAGGAGTTTACCCAAAAATGAAAATGTGCTGGTCATTTAGAGCAGGGGTTCTCAACCTTTTTCACTTCAAGGCCCACCTCCCTCTCAGAATTTTTTTTAGCCCCAAACTGTTTGTCTAGAAAAATGGTTATTTTAAAGCTTTATTTATTAGCAAAACATTTATTTTGCCTTCTATTATTTTAAAATATGATAATATAAATTTTAATGTTTTTAAAAAAAAAAGCACAGACAGGTTTAATGTTCATGAATTTTTTAAGTTATTTTTTTACAACTGCGGACTATTTTTGCCTTTTTCAATAAATGAACCTGACCGGACAACATGGAGATGGCAAAAAAAAAAAAGCTGCTGCTTTGAACTAGACTGACTACTATTAATCTATTGATCTACTATTCATATCCATTAAAAATAAATAATAAACACTCTAAATCTGTTGAAACGCATCAATCTGAAGGAGGTTTGGTTTGTAGCTGGAGATTATTGGAGTTCGCTGACAGGAACAGTGAACAGCTGTTCACTACTGAAACACCACCGAGTCTCGCTGGATCCTAATGTATGGGCGTGCGTTCGTTATAAAACATTCGCAGGATGTTAATTTGATAAACTATGGATATTTTAAAGTGTTCATACAAAGAGAGCACGCATAGTTTGAATCAACAGACTTGTACGACTTGACTCTGATACAGTACGGGTCACAGATGTGAGGCACATGCGAGCTGGTTAACTATAATCATCATTACCCTTACAATTGTGTGACGATTTGACTGAGGACGTAGTCCTAGTTGACGCGCAGCGGTTTGAAAAAAAAAAAGCCTCATGTCTGTTTAACAGTGAGGCTGTTTTTGCAAAACAGAGGCCAAATTAGCTTATTTAATCACAGAAAACGGGAAATGCCATTACTTTGATCATTTTAATATGACATTTAATAATTGAATAAAATAATTATAGTATAATATTTAAGTTCATTTTAATCTTGCGGCCCACTGGTTGAGAATCCCTGATTTTGGGATTTTTTTGTTCTCACACTATGTACAGTTCCCTTGAACCAGGCCGAAGCACACTTGTTAATTAGGAGGTTTGCTAAAGGTGCATCTGTCATGCTGTGAGGGGTTTGCGTCTTAAATAATCTACGATCGTTTGTGTTCATTAAACACTAAGAATGATTAATAAATCCATATGAAACAGTCCCTTAAAAGTCATGTCTCATCTTCAGTTTCGGGCTCAGGCGCGCTTTGCACTCACACTACAAGCGTACTGCGCTCTGGCACACCTCTTCCAACCAGGTCAGGGCCGGCCAACTGAACCGTGCTTGAGCCCAATTCAGAGCACTCGCACTTCTCAAACGATTCGGGAAATGGGCCTGGGCATGGTTCGCATAGCATAGTGTGAGTTCGCCCTTAAGCCTGGTTTATACTTCGGCGTCAAGTGATCTGTGTGACCCACAGCGCATGCAATGCAAGTAGCTGTGCATTTATACTTATGTGTTCTGTTTGTGTTGCTCTTCAGTAACACTTCCGAAACGCTAGTTGGCAGTAGGTGTTTGTTCCTCTGTGTCGAGTTTCTTCGCTGGTGTTTTGTTTTTTCTAAACGCTTAATGTACGAGTGGCTTAAACTCACTCATTTTGAGGCAGGAACCGGCGGACGTGCAACAACTTTAATCATAAGGTAAACCCAAAACAACAGTCACTATCTGGAGCTCCTTTACGGGACTCCACACTTGTAAACACTCGCTGCATCACGCTCGCCCGGCTCTCACCTCCTCCCACACTTGGCAGCCCTACCAAGCTAACCAAACACTGCTTATGCTATGCATCGTTGCGACGCGTAGTTACAGTTTTTGAGAGGTGCGCGTCAACGTCGCTGACAGCCACGGCGAGGGCTATGTAACCACGCGTAGGCTGCGCTGTAGCACATGAGTGCGCTTGACGCAGAAGTATAAATCAGCCTTAAAGATCTATCACACATGGACAACACTACATCAGGTGGATGGTGAAAACATTGGCTTAATTTAATCTAGTATTAATCTGGCTTTACATGCAAAAAAAGATGAATTCTGATACTTGCTTGTAGACCAAAATCAACTCTTTCTTTTTTGCTGTTTCTTCTTTTATTTAGGTCTATGAAGGTTTGAGGTACAAACTGTCTCTGGAGTTTCCTAGCGGGTACCCGTACAACGCACCTCGGGTGAAATTCATCACTGCTTGTTTTCACCCAAATGTGGATGAGAACGGCATCATCTGCTTAGACATTTTGAAAGACAAGTGGTCTGCGCTATATGACGTTCGCTCCATACTACTGTCCATTCAGAGTCTTCTTGGAGGTAGGTTGAGCTTTTGACATGTGCAGCATTGATTTTAAAATTCTAATTTGGTCTCCACCTTTTCATTGGGATTAAACAACCCAACAAGATCTGTATTAATTCAAAAATTTTATGTAATTAATTAGCAGCCCCTCTTTATATCTTTATTTGTCATACTTTTAATATTGAGTTTAATTAAAGGTGGAGTAGGTGACTGTCTTCAGAAGCATTTTTTGTTGTGCTGGTTGAAAGTCTCTTCACAGTCTAATGGTAATGATTACAGTAAATGATCTACATGTATTTATATATTTTGGGTAAGGCATAAAACTAAAAAAAAGTTCATCCAATTAAATAGAGTCGGGCCGACATCTCTCATAATTCCGATTAGCAGGTCAGACTGTCTGTCAGCAAATGCAGATTTAAACACTGCGCAGCCGTTTGTACACAGCTCCGCCGACCGCTGTTGGTGCTGCGCGTTCAAAAGAGAGAGCGCGCACGCGCCCGCGAGATCGATTAAAAACCTGCTGAATCAAAACTTTTTAAAAACCTGAATCAATATTGGAGTTACCTTTGCATGCTGGGGAACGGATGAAACAATGTCTGAAGGATTTCTCTTAGACAGGTAATGTTCTGTTTTAAAACTATTTTAGCTTCATGCAACTGATGTGATGTTACAAACGGGTTATATCTTCACAGAAGTGTTGTTCGGCCACTAAAATCTTTCGATAAAAGATTGATAAGACTATTTTCAGTTTCATAAGGACCTTTTACAGCATCTATAGTGTAGATTTTAATTAGTTTAACAACAAAACACAAGTAAATAGCGCTATTCCGCTTAGTCACTCCCTATATTGTTTACCATGCTACTCTAAATATTCACTCTGAAATAGCATGTCAGTTTAGCTTGCACCCCCGCGGACAAGCACTAGTCGTTTTTAAAGGGTCACGAAACACCAAAACACATTTTTTGAGCTGTTGACAGTCATATATGTGTCCCACACTGCTAAAAACACTATTAGGACACTTATATTTCACTAAAAAGTGTAAATTGGTTGTTTTTGCGTTATTTCAAGCAAATTCGTACTTCCTGTTTGAAACAAATTTTTGAAGCTGCGTCACGGTCATGACATAATAGCGTTGTATTCCAGCGTGCAGACTGGACGTCTGTGCCAGAGTGAGTCTTATTACGTCTTACAGTGTGCTGCATTAATGCATGAGTAAGGCTTGGTTCAAACCAATCAGCACGCTCTATTGTGCAACTTCATTAATATTCATTACTGTCAGAGTGTAGACGGCAGAGACGCCACGTTGTGTTGGCAAAACAAGCGTGAAGTGTTGCTTTTATAGTTTGCTGCAGTTAAGTTTCGTTTTCATTTTCTCTCTGTGAGAGTTCAGACTCACGCGTGGATTCACAGTGTACGCGACGCTCGACAACAATAACTTGCGTGTCTAAGAAGGATTATTGTTTACCTGAGAGCTGTTCTCATCTGCAAACGCTGAGATCCGGTGTAGCAATCGATTCTGTTCCCTTCTGGAATTCCAGTTCCCCCTCCACGAAGCGTATCCGCTAACAGCATATGCGGACACACCCGGATTTGCGGGCACTGGATTCGCTTGTAACGTTAGTCTCCTCTAAATTAAGACGCGGCTCCAGTTGCTGGTGATTGTCCTGTCTCTACAGATTTGTTAAGTGAGCGACCAGTGCTCTTTGTTTATTCAGTTCGTATTTTATTCGTATCAAACAAACTATTGCACCGAGTGTAAACAAGTTAGCACTAACAGTTACAACCAAACTATAACCTCGTGTTGGATTGTGTGACCGGAATAACACACGCAGCTTTCTGACGCTACCTGCCGTGTGCATCTAAGTTTCCGGGAAATGCTGAGTTTTTTTTTTCTCTCATTCGCCGTGCGGTATCAAACATTGCATGAAAAATACACGCTTAGAGCAGTTCCTCGAATCAAATATCACGTTTGTCGCGAGGGGCATGAATGAATTCCCTGAATGAAAGAGCCAAACTGCAGTTAAAGTCCACC